AGCTTATAATAATGTTTTCTAATTTGAGTGGTATGGGTAGGTCTTCGCGGGAAATTCGAGCATGCTGCTGCGTCATTATGCCACGTCTGTAAACAAAGATTGAGTCCCGGCTAGTAGGCTATGGCATATGAGGATCCTGCAGGTGGCGGATCGTTTATAGCCTTTTTTCACAGCAGCTGGAATAATTAAGTTTATCATTTTGATGGCGGATTGTAATCCATTAAGGATTATGTGTTTATGAAACAAATATGTGACTGAAATTAAATTATTTCAGTTTGTGTGCATCTGATTACAGATAGCCAAGGATTTGTATTTTAAAGAGAACCAGTTCGAAGGAAGAATAATTTGCTTTTTGGGTTAAAAGAGTTTCTTAATATGAAATTCGAATGGTATGACAATTGGAGATTAGACTGTACAGAAATTGAAATCTACACTCTAATACACACTATATACAGATCGTTAGATTTAATCGCCATTGGTAGCGCAATTTATTGTAATGCTTTTTTCCTCAGTTGGTCAGAACAAACATGGCAGACTTGTTACTTACGTGTTCTGATGACAATATCCGGTGAAAATTCTTATTTGGGTCATATTCCAAGAAGTAGGCGAGAATCTGTGATTCCTAAGTACAGTATCCACACGGGTGCGGTGACTGACAGCCACACATTCACTTCAAAATATTAGATTCGGCTGTAGCCGTGACTGATCACAACCCACGCAAGGAAGATAATTCCGCAAGTAACTGCAATTGCAGGTTTCAAACAGAGATGGCGACAAAGAGGCAAAACTTATGGACTGCAGCTTTAATTGAAACTGCTTTTGAATGCACGATCGCTTTTTAGTTTCACTTTCGAGATTCGCGATCGCACGTAGTCTTGTTTATACTATGGAGTGGCAGTACTTACCACATATTTTACAAGATTAGATGTTTGTCAGTGGTGCTGAGGATCTGCAAATCATTCGCCATCGTCCTCAGTCATCTGTCCTTTCTTTGTTTATGTGGTAAGTGAAATTTTATGTACTGTAATGTAACAGGCAACCGTTACAGACATCGCCAAACCCTATCATATATGGTTGAAAAGTTCTCAATCTCCAGAATTATAAAAATCATACTTGTTTCAGTTATTTGTTTCAGACCAAACTATATTGAGTTTTTTTATGAAAAATCGTGTGCTGACGTACAGTATACACTTGAAGGTTTTGCGCCACATTTTGGTTTAGAATATTGTAAAACATTAGTAAATTATAGTACAACCCCAATTCCAGAAAAGTTGGTTTTTTTTGTGAAATGCCATAAAATCAAGAATATGTTATTTGTTCATTCTCTTTTACCTTTATTTATTTGACTAAAGTACAAAGAAAAACAATGATTTTGGTGCTACAACACACTCCAAAAAAGTTGGGACAGAGGCATGTTTACCATTGTGTCACCTTTGCTTTTAATTACATATTTTAATAATCTGGGAATTAAGGATGCTATTTTTTAAAGTTTTGCAAGCAAATTTTTTTGCCTAGTCTCACTTGATACAAGGCTTCACCTACTCAGCAGTCCATAGTCATTGTTGTCTGATTCTCCATTTCATGATGGGTCATACATATTCAATATAGGCCTGGGCGATAAAACGGTATTGATATTTATCGACGGTACACCTTCTTCGATATCGATAGAAAAAATGTTCGATATAGTGCACGATATAGGCATGTGCTATGAGTGACGCAGACAGCACACACAAACACGAACACATGCTGAGTGCTGTGCCTGCCTGTGATGAGGAGATTGTGAATAAAGAATGAATATTAGTCGAATTTAAAATAAACATTTGCATTTGAATGTTAGGTGTGCATCAGGGAGCGTCATCAGTGGCGCGCGAGATGCGGTGATGTAAGTGACGTTGTTGCATTTTAATGTTTGGTTAGTCTAGCCCACGAGATGCACCGCTGCAGCGTTATTCATTCAAAATATTAGAGAAATATAGAAGCTCAATGCGGAGAAGATCTTGAATGGGTTAAAACCGAAACCAAGCCGTTCACACAGAACGCATATTCAGGTCATTTTTTAGATGGACAAATATGACTGCTGCACTCGCATCTCAGAGAAGAGATGTATAGAAAGCCATGCAAAGTTAAAACAGTTTAAACTTTTAGAAAACACGTCACGAATTTGTGGAGGTTTATTCCTTTTCACTGCGTCTAACATGTTTTTAAATGCAGTCTGTGTGAATGTTTTGTTCATAATTGTTACTCTTAAGATTACTCCTAAGATTAATTAAAACTCCTAAGATTAATTCTGAATTATTCAGAAAAAAATAAAAAGATTATTCTGATTTGGTGGTGGTCGGGAGAGTTCTCTCCCATGTGGAGAGTTGCAACTTTGGCGTCCTGCTGGTGTGGAGGAGGTCCCACAGCATCGCAGTTGGACTGGATGTCTCCAGTCTCCTCCACACAGCAACCAAAAGAAAGGGTCCAAGAGCAACCAGAGAGAAGAAGAGAGTGAGGTCACTCTAATTTGCCATTAACTTCTGTGGAGGTCACACCTCCAGGGGTTCAGTGAGCCATTTATGGGGAATTAAGTGAGAGTTAACTCTCCCTAAATTCCTTTGAGTTGTAAATCTTATCTTTTATTGTTTCCTTGCTGCTATGGTAGCCAGTGGCTTGTAGGGCTGGGTATCGAGTTCGGTACTTTTTAGGCACCGACCGAATTGCCTCGATACCATTGAGTATCGAAAAACGTTTTGTCGTTCGGTACCAAATTTCAATACCTAAGGGGTTAATCTCATCAGCGTCAGTGAGCCAATAGGCCTGCAGCACTAGCCGGTGTGTTCGACTAGAAGAGGTGCGGCGCAGATCGATCATCCGCGAGAGCGATTCGAAAGCGCACGGAGCAGTCTGCTCTCTTTAGCTCTCGTGGTACTGTAATACACCAATCGGTCTGCACAGTCGGTCCACGTCAAGTCGAACACACCTACTAGTTTACACCGGTTACACTCAGAGATGTGGCGCACACGTGAGGCTGTAGTGTGAATGTGTCCCAGCCCCCATAGATGTAAGGCTACATTTACACTGGTGCGTTTATGTTCTAAAATGAAAACTATCCTCATCGTACTGGCGTTTCCACTGCGTTTCAAGCCGGCTTTCCACCATCTCCAAGCGACAGACCGGTCATTCAGTCATTCATTTCCAATGGAGAGTAGCGCAGGAGCTGCGTGGAG